GAATCAAAATGACTTTTCATCTACTTAAGTGTCTCTAAAATACATTCATCACTTATGCTGCAAAGCAAATCTTTTTCAGTTATACACAACAACCATTCATAAATTTGTCACCCAACCAATTTCGAAGATCGTTCTTGATTATCTTCATAGCTGAAAATGCTCTTTCGCAGCTTGCATTTCAACATATAAAGTCATACCAACTTCTAAAGCAAGTATTCTGGTGAGTCTCGACAGTTGCCGCTTGGGCTTTGGTGATTTTTTTGTTTCTCCATTAATGCAAGGACCAATCCCAGCACACATGTATATTGGTATGGACTGTGAGTTTTTTTAATAGCAATTGATATGATTATGAGTTATTTTAAACGAATTAAAAATGAATTTTGTTAATTAGAATTTAAGATTGATTCATTTAAATAATAAAATTCTTCCAGTCTAATGAAGGTGTGTCGGCTATAATTATCGAAGGGTTGTCGGAAGTCTAGAACTTAAAATTTTTGTACCGAAAAATATGTAGGTCCTTCACAAAATTCTCGGGCGAGGGTGTGTCGGACGACACACCCTCCCTTGCCTTAGGTCCGCCACTGTTTCCGTATAAGTCTAGAGGCCCTTGGTAAGAACATAAAACAAAAAACAAAGAACAACAAAACAGATAAGGAGATAGTGGGTCTCCTTGACATATTTATCTACCCAGGGTGAACCACTGTCAGCGATCTCCATTGACTAGCATAGAATAAGACACGAATCGAACACACATCATTACTAAACTGGTCCACCTCTGTTTAAAACACATCATTACTAAATTGTCATTTCACTCGATCATAGGCCTTTCCCATGTCTAGTTTCAACGCAAAATAACATTTCTATCCAGCTGATCGCTTCCTCATAGAGTAAAAACATTCAAATGCTGGCATCAAATTATCGGGTTGAAATCGTCCGGGGGCAAAAGCACTTTGTGCCGGAGACATCAACTTTTCCAATACCAATTTAAGTCGATTTTCCAGCACTTTGCAACCAACTTATAAACGATATTCCATAGGTTGATCAGGCGGTATTCCATTGGGGAAATTGGTCTTTCACCTTTGGGACCACCCCCTAGTTCAAAATTTTCAAAATTGTTTAGCGACTTTGTCTTCAACCATCAACCAATAACTATGATAAAAGAAAAATTCCATCGACTCTAGATGTCTTTATTTTCCCCTCATAATGCTATTTGGTTCATTGTAGATTGCTAAAAATGCACTGAGTCTCCGAACACTTGATCTCGTTCTTATTTGGCATTGATCTTGAATTGTTGCATGTAATCGAGTGCATCCTATTATGATGACTAAAAATGCATTAGGGTTGTGCGAAAGCTTAGTTCTCATGTGTGCTTAAATGAATGGATGTCTTGACTTGGTTACTCCTTGATTACAATTGCCATGCATTGAAATTTTTGAATTGGAATAGATGATTGGGTGGCTAGGTAGCCATGTGAGTTTTGTGCCGATCGTCTTTTTCATGTGTGATAGATTCCTCTCTCCATGGTGTGTAACATTCACCATTGTCACTAGTGAGTATGATAGAGGCATTAGTCCACCCCCAAAAGTTGTTGTCCCGAAACATCTTATCCCCTAGTCAACCCCTTTGAGCCGTGTGACTTTGGGGGTCGTTCTAATGCTAGGAGCTTTGTGCTTGATGAGCTTAATGGTGATTGAAAGAACGACCCCCACCCATCCTTTCTTCGTGTCAAAGTGTGAGTCATTCTTGTGTCTCGGAGTTCTCGCTTTTGAGCTTCATTGAGGTTCTACATAGGTGGTTTTGCACGGTTCTTGCTAGAAATGAGAAGGTAGCATTGAAGAAAAGTTCTTAAATGGAGAGCATTGTTCGTTAAATGAAAGAAGTGGCATGTGTTTAGCTCTCTAGTACCACCTCGGGAAAAAAAGAGAAAAAGAAACAAAAAAGAGGTAATAAAACGGGGTAAATAAAAGTAGAGAGTGGCCACACGAGTCTAAGTGTTTGCTCTAGAAAGGGGTTCTTGGCACCTAAGCCATTGAAACACCTAAATTGTTTGATGACCTCCTTCACTACTAGATTTGAAATATGAATAGCAAGATAGGCCAAAGAAGTGTTTTTGAATGTAGTTCGTGATTGGTAGTGGTTTGGAAGAAGGGAAGTGTGGATTTTGGCCGATGCTAGTGGCCTTTGTTTGTAAAAAATGTTCTATGTCGAGACCATAGAACCTTAGGTTTTAGGTTAACGGATGTCATGCCATGTTTGCCACCCCCCAAAAGCCTTTTCCCCTTGTCCAAGACAATTGCCAATTTTAACTTGTGTCTAAAACCTCCGGACAAGCTAGTGATGATAACTGACCCGTGAACTCTAGCATTTAGAGGTTGCCACCGTGGTGGAGAGACGATAGGGCTGAGTGTTGATGATTGTACAAATCTTTTGCACCAAAAAGGTCATGACCCCACTAGTCGAGAGTGAGTGATTCATTCTTGTTTTGCATGTTCATATCTTACCCCGATGAGGACCTATGTTGCCCCGTTGTCTGTTCCTTGGACTTGAGTTCTATGCATGGTTAGTTGTGGTTGGTGAGTAGTTCGATTGAGACTTGCATTGTTTTGTGAACAGGGTGAGAAATTTTCATTTGCCCATTCTTGATGTAATCGAATGTCGTTTGTGGTGGATGACGTAATTGTTTGAGGCGGTTCATGTGTTGATGCCCAATAGTCATTAAGATTCACCGCTTTGTGCCTTTTGATTTGTCCCCAAGTTATCTTGTTAGGTTGAGACATCACCTAGGTTAAAAAATGGTTTGTTTGGGGACAAGCAAACATCTAAGTGTGGGGGGAGTGATTCGGGCTCATTTGTACACTTTTTACCCCTGATTTGCTTAGTCGTTTGAATCTTTTTTTTTACTCTGGGTGGTTTGGTTTTACACCGGGTTTTGCCGTGTTTTGGTGTTTTTCAGACTTTGACAGGTGAAACCAAACCCGGAGTCGAAAGTTGGACGAAAGGGCGAAAAATCAAGTCAAAGGGTGGAAGCAGCAGCAGATCACGGTTTGGGTTGTGTGTTCACAGTCACTAAGACCGTGAACTAGAGGCGCTACCCTTGAACAACCAGGCATCTAGAGAACAAATTGCTTTCGCTAAACACAAGTCAGTTCACGGTCGTAAGACCGTGAACTCAGGTCATTGCCCGTGAACTGGACTTAGTGATGCGGCGCATTTCGACTTGAGATCACGGTTCGAGCTTTCAGTTCACGGCCGTGAACTGGGACCGTGATCTGAGCCCGATCTGGGTATATAAACGAGGTTGAGCTGAAGGGAAAGAAGGGAGAGTGACCTAGTGTGAGAAACTTCTTCTTCTTTAGATTTCTAGAGTGAGAAAGTGACGAACCAAAGAAGAGGAGAAGCTAGAGTTTCATCTTCAAGCAAGGATTTGGGAATTCCTCCCCCAAAGGAGGATCTCTTCAACACAAGGAGCAAGGTTAGCATCTCATTGATGGTTTTCCTTCTTCTCTCTTGTGTTTGCCCCTCTCCTATCATGGAGTAGTCCCTTCTTTCACTTAGGTGTTTGTAAACCCTAACTACAATTATGTGAATGCTTGTATGGATTGAATGATTTGTGTGTGGTTGTGTTTAATGTGAATGTGGAGGTATTATTCATGAACTATTTGTGTTGTGTGAAAGCCTATCAATCTAATTATCATTCTAACCTAGGTAGAGAGAAACCCCCCACCCCCTTATTTTCTTTAAAAGAGGCTTGAATGCTGGGTTTTCTCAGGCAATTCATTGTCTCTTATTTCGTATTAGTACCTAGGGTTTGGTTGTGGGTGGCCGTCCGAACTCCGATTTGAGGGTGAAGTCTAACCAACCCTTAGTCAATAAGTCGTGAGAGTCACGTTGGTGGTTTGGATCATATTCCCTTCCCTCGACCTAGAGACCAAGAGAGTGGCGCTTGGCTACTTGTTGAACTTCCCTACGGGTTACAATCCCCTCACCACACACGACCATTCGATCCAACAAGTCATAACGGTTAGCTAGGGGGAGCAACACCCGGGTGAAGACTTCTCAATTAGTGTCAAATCCATTGACCTTTGCAAAAGATTTAGATATAGATTATTGTTTTCACCAAAAATAAACCGCTAGATAATGTTACAAACAATCGAAGTAGGGGTAAATGAACCGGCTCGGATCGATATTTAAACATACTTGCCCTATACTGCACCCAGTTAAGGTTTATACTTGGGCCTTAACTGAGAGTTTTATTGTGGTATTCGAAATGAGTCATAAAGAAATATGTGAGAATGCATAACTGAATGGTGCATTTCAAAAGTAGATGTTTTGAATGTGTATTATTCATTAAGTTTTTGGGTTGGCGGTTCTATCTAACTTTTTTCAGACATATCTTCGTTGGGTTCCACCTTTACTGGTAAAAAGCTAAAATGCCCATTTCAATATGTCCGAGCGTGTTTGTTGTTTCAACATTTTGTCTACGTTATTGAAATTTTTTATCTCTATATACGTAACATCATGCTTATACATTTTGGATGACAAGGTGAATCACTCATTGATTTTTCGACGACTCCGCAATCAGTGGCAGACACCAACCCCCTATTGAACGTACGTCTCAAATAAAACACTGACAGACGACTTATCCAACTGAAAACCGAAATATTTCTAAATCCGGTAAGTCCAACGCTTCAACCTTCTCGACCCGCCATCAATGCGCTAAGGAAATATTTTATTTACTATTAAGGGATGAAAAAAGATTTAATGTCTTGCTTATAATATTATATATTCATTAAAAAAAACTAGCCTACACTTATTGTTTTTAATTTTATTACCTTATTTTCTTATTGCTATATCATTTTTTTCCACCATATTTTGACCAGATAACTTGCCTTGTTTCCATCGCCCTGCCCTCCTTCCTCCCCCACAAGGCCACAACAAAGTTTGCATTATAAATAGCATAGCCAAACAACTAAAGCCAACACATTACCATAAACTAGAAAGTCAGATTACATTCTCTCATTTTTCTGAAAACTTCTGTAAGCAAGTATATTAAGCATAATATACTATGGCGAGGTCTTCCGCAGCTTTATTCTTCCTGCTAGCCATTTTGCTCTTCACCTCCCAAGGTACCCAAATCCTTCTTCCTACTCAAAGTCATTTCTGTAAATGTTTTTTTTTTTTTTTTGCCTTTCTTATAATATTATACTCCTCGTTTTCTTTGTTCATAATTGATTGTTGAAATATGGTGAATTAATTATAAAAGGCGAAGAGAAAATGGGAGTGGAGGCAGAAGACTGTGAGAAGCAATGGGACTGTGACCATGGGCCAAAGCGCTGCAAACAAGACTGCGCGGATAAGTACCAAGGCAAAGGAGAGTGCGAGCCGGGCTTTATTCCGTGGTCTCCTTACAAGTGCAATTGCCATTACAGTTGCTAGACTCAAAAATCAAAATTAAACAAAAATGAAAATAAGAGAGAAGAGCCATGTTATCATCAATAACTGTTAAAAAAAAAAAATCAATAATGCATGCAAGCTGCAGGTTCTTCTAAATTGGCGCTCTAAATCGTGTGTATAATCAGCAGTCGTCTCGTTTTCTCCGATCAATCGATGAATGTGGGTAATATGATAAAACTCGTGTTAAGTCCGATTGAGTTCTCACCTCGCTCTATTACTCTCTCGTGATTTTCGTAATCCGCAATTTTGATACCAGGGACAACAACGTAGCCGTAAGGAATTTTAATTCCTTATCAACTATTCTGGTCTCTAAATTTGTGCAAATTTTACATGTAATTTTACTTGTATTTCATAATTGAGCGGGGCTACAGCCTACAGCCCCTCGTGTAGCTTCACCACTGATTTTTTTTTACAGGATACATAACAATATACATAAGTTTTCTTAACTTCAAATGTGGTTTACATATTTAAAAATCTGGTATCAATGTCAGCTCAGAGCCAACATCATAGTCAGGAGGATATCTAATGTCTGATATTTTGTTAATGTTCATTGTAATTGTATAGCTCCTTCTTCGCCCAACAAGCAGACAATCACAGACGATCACCTCTTTGTAACCGTCGTAGCTAAAGTAACAAAAGGAACATTAAAACGGCAGCCATGCAGCCATTTACAAACTCATATTAATTATTTTGGATATTGAATCTGTTATGCATTTATTGCTCTTTGACAATAAAAAATCCATATTAATTACTCTCTTTTGTTTTCAAAATTAAAACTACATGAATTACATTTCTCTCTCCCTATTTTTCACTCTTCCCTTTTCCAACATATTTATTGCGGGTAAATTGCAAGTTTAGTCACTGAAATTACTAAAATATTTCACATTTGCCACTAAAGTTAGTTTATTCCATTCATGGTCATTAAAATTAGTACAACAATTCAAGTTTGGTCACTCTCCGTTAGTCTCCGTTAACTTTTTAGAAGTGGCAGTCAACTCTCACAGTTGACCATTAAAAGGGTGTTGTGACGATAAAAAAATAATATAATAATTTTTGTTATTTATAATAATTTAATATTTTATTTAGTTTAGTTAATTGTTATAATGAGGTGGAAATTGTAACAAATGATTTTTATTATTTTTTATTAGCTATGTCACCCATTTAACGGTCAACTACTATGAGAATCGACTGTCACATCAGAAAAAGTTAACGGAGACTAACAGAAAGTAACCAAACTTAAACTGTTGTACTAATTTTAATGACCATGAATGGATTAAACTAATTATAGTGACAAACGTGAAATGTTTTAGTAATTTCAGTAACCAAATTTGTAATTTACCCGATTTATTGTCCCGGTAGACTCCTTCCGGTCAAAACTTACACACCACATGAACTAAGATACACGCCAAGTCTCGATATCGTGGCTTTAAGACCAATCACGAGCCGATAGCTGTGAGCACCGGCTCGTGATTGGTTCAACCCAAATCGAACTACAGCATATCAGTACTCTAATTACCCTCAATCATGAAACCAATTTCGAATTGAATTATATTTTGGTTTGGTCTAGCCAAACTGAAATATAATTCGGTCCAGATCAGAAACACCGACTAAACCGAGCTTACTCCTTCCTCTGTTTCTCTCTGCAACTTTCCCTCTTCATTTATTTCAATCCGTTGAGAAACCCAACCCTATGAGAAGAGAGTTGGCGACGGCCGAGAGATGATAAGAGAGTTAGTGATGCGACAATGGGAGATGGCAGTTGATTTAGCATTGTGACTTCAGCGCTCTGGCTGCTGGCGGGCTAGCGGCTTCAATTGGTTACAGGTCGGCCATGGCGAGAGCTGGTTACGGCGGGAGACAAGAGGTGGCTAGGCCATAGGCGATGCGGCGCACTAGAGATGGCGAGACCATGTCATACCCATAAGGAATCCATATATTTGGATATGGATTTGGAGCTTGCTACTCACACCAAAATTAAATTATTTCATATGGATGTGTTACATGAATGCACTGGCAACGAAAGAACGACTTTACCATCGTAAGTGCTCCCATAATGCTACTTTTCAAATATGCTAGAACACCAGTGAAATAACTGGAAAGCGAGGAATGAATGTGTTTTTAAGAATAGGGCGCCATTGGCCTCGAATATCTGTTTGCAAACCTATAGAGAATTCATGAAATGGACTTCATGTCCGACGGCCACCACCCTCAACCCTCTCCCTTCCAATCAGCTCAAGGGAACCCAAAATCATATCGATGCACTGTCAAGCAATCATCCAATGGTGATTCTATGTGATGGGTCGTTCCTTATTGACTCACAGCCATCTGCTTATGGTGTAGTAGATGTTAACTACACATGGACAAGTATGTGATAAGCAAGCTGAAATTTTCCTTTGTTCTACCTTAGCTGAAGCTGGAAAAAAAAACCCCTTTTAGAAGAGAACTCAAATTAACACAAGAATATGGTTCAAATTACTTGGTCAAATAAGAGTGTCAACTACTGGTACAAGCTTCAGATCACGCCCCCTCGATATAGCCTATGTGGCATGGACAGGAACAACGATCTCAATCCTTAGAACAAACCCGAGAATCAAGATTAAAGTTGTGTGGCTAGAAAAATCAATTTTATAGCTGGTTGGGTTGCTCGTTCAATGGCGCGTTCTACGCTTCCGAACAATTGTGTTAATATTCGTGATCTCATTTTTTTATTTACTATAAAAGGATGTGACTCTCATTTCTCTTTTTTAGTTGGTGGAATAAAAGTAAATTTTCCTGTAAAATAGTGGTATATGATAAAATTAGCATGGTCGGCTTGTGAAATCTTTTAAACTATAAATATTATTGAATTGAGTAGCGATGGCATTGGCCGAAAGAGGTCATTTTTATCCATTTATCCATCACCATTTGACGTAAAATGAAGATCAAGAGTGTTGATTTCCTTTTATTTCCTTTTCGTCTGCACCCGCACAATCAAGTCTTGAACAACATAATTTCCTCCCTCTCCCTTCCTTCTCAATCCACCTCTATCTTTGATTGGTTCTTCTTGATGAAAGACACTGTCCAACCTAGATGCCTTATTCATATGGTATTTCTTTGCTTGAATAACTGGAAAGCGAGGAATGAATGTGTTTTTAAGAATAGGGCGCCATGGGGCTCGAATATCTGTTTACAAACCTATAGAGAATTCATGAAATGGACTTCATGCCTGAAAGCCACCACCCTCAACCCTTTCCTTTCCAATCAGCTCAAGGGAACCCAAAATCATATCGGTGCACTGCCAAGCAATCACCCAATGGTGATCATTGTGATAGGTCGTTCCTTAGTGACTTACAGTCATCAACTTATGGTGTAGTGGTTGTTAACTACACATGACCAAGTATGTGATGAGCAAGCTGAAATTTTCTTTTGTTCTACCTTAACTGAAGCTGAAACAAAACCCTTTTAGAAGAACTCAAATTATCACAATAATATAGTTCAAACTATTTGGTCAAATAAGTGTGTCAACTACTGGTGCAAACTTCAGATCACGCCCCCTCGATATAGCCTTAGAGATGTGTGGCATGGATACGAACAACGATCTCAATCCTTAGAACAAACCCGAGAATCAAGATTAAAGGTGTGTGGCTAGAAAAAAACAATGTTATAGCTGATTGGGTTGCTCGTTGAATGACGCGTTCTACGTTTCCGGACAATTGGGTTAATATTCTAGATCTCATTTTTATTTACTATAAGAGGATGTGACTCTCATTTCTCTTTTTTGGTTGGTGGAATCTTAACTTATATTATGACCGTTGTGGAGCAAGTTTTTGCCACGTAGGACAACGAAAGCTCCACAAATTTCCATGTCATTTTGTCAGTTTTAACATTTTAGGTTATTAGTTACATTAAAATAAAACTAAATAAAAATGCATATCAATCATCCTCACCAAGATTTGATCATATGACCTATGAGGTCAAACTATCATCATTTCAAATGTTCAACCACCAGGATAAAGTATATTTGATGCTACTAACCACAACAAAACATGTATATCAATCATCATAACTATGATTTAATCATGCAACCTAGAAGCTCAAACTATAATCATTTCAATCTTTTAACCAATAGAATAAAATATCTTTCATGCAATTAATGACAACTATTTTTTAACCAATAGAATAGCTATCACGGTTACAATTGTGTAATCTATTTTTTAGCATTGATAAGAAAATCATTAACATCTACAAATAAATTATTTTTAGTTTATAATATGTTTCATAATTGTTTATAATTTCTTAAAAATAATTAAAAAATCCGAAAAACATAAATTTATACCAACTATAAACTTTTCCATAAATTGACATGTGATTTTCTTTTAAAATTGAAATATGAAAAGTAAAGTATAATCTTCTTCCATCTTCTAGAACACGAAGAATTTAACATTTTGTTTGTACGAACTACTATAAATATGTGAACAAATGTAGTTATGTTGCAATTTGTTAGAAAATATTTACTATAAATATCTGAAATATATCAACATAGTTCATTCATATGCTACAGTGATATATACACAAAATTTCATGTGTTTAAGAATATCACTAGACACCAATGGTCACCAAAGTTTTTTGTATATTTTTCAAAATCGAATTATGGTCATGGTTTAAATATGTTTGTGACCAATTGGTGAAAGAAGTTATAAAAAAAGTCATGTACATATACATAATGCATTTGGCATTTTTAGTATTGAATTTGGCATTTCTTGCATATTAAAATATCATTATCTTTTCTTTTATGTTATTCCAACTTCATTCTCTTTTCATTTTTCGTACGTCATTAAATATTCTTCCATGTATAATTATAAAACACATTGTCTTTACTTTTTCCTAATGTAATTATAATTCCTTTCTTTTCTCTTTTTATTGTTTGACATAAGTTCCTTTCTTTTTTCTACATGAGTGTAGATGTGCAACTTTGAGTCATATTCAGATGAATAACACCTAAGTCAAGCAAGATTTGTAAACGAATTTTAAACTATTGGATATATGATGGTTGATATGTAAATAACTATTTTAATCCTTACTTAATGTGACACCCTAATACATATATTACTATTACTATTTTTAGTAACCA